ACCTGGAAGAGATTGGCTCAAAGATCAGGAGAATGGAGGACATGGTCAGACAGAGATCAGGGTCTGAAGCCACAGAGGCACAGAGGACTGGGCGTGAGGGCTGATGGTTAACTTGGCATGAAGGAAAAGGACTAGGGGAAAACAAAGCCATGGGGGTGGAGGGAAGGTAAGTGAGCAGGGGGTCAGAAGACATGGCAGCAACCAGGAGGTAGAAGGTGGCATGTAAAAGGGACAGAGGTTTTCACAGAGGGGATTGTGGCTGATGTCTGGAATTGGCATGGGAGGAAAGAAAGACCATGATCTCACCCCTATTACTGAGGGAAACAGAGGAGCTTCAGACAAGTCAGGTTTCAGGTGGTCAAGGAGGTGAAAGAAAGAGGTTGAGGCTTCAGGGCTATTGTTTAAAGCAAAAAGACAACCAGAGGGCAAAATACAAAGAAGTGCCTGGGAGGAAAAGAAACACAGAGCAGTGATGGTGAAAGCACCCTGAGATGGCATGGAAAGACACCAAGTGAGCCGGCCCCCATGCTGCCAGGGGCATTAGTTCCAGACATCCCCTGGTGAACATGGATGCATGTGGGGTCCCTGATTTCACCCAGTCTAGTTGTGATACACTTCTGGGGGTGTCCTAGTGTGAAGTGCACAGGGAAACCCTGCTCTCTCAGGAAGAGTGAGCTATGGTATGGTCTGACTGAGGGGACCAGGGAAAGCTGCCAGACTCAAGCTCCCAAGGAAAGGTTAGGACCTGGTGGGCACAAGGGAACTTGAGGAATGAGACTGGTCAGAGGCCGTGTTCACATCCCAGGCAATGTGGGGCCACTGGTTAGTCCCAGGCACAAAGCCAGGAATACACTTAAAAAGTCAAAAACAAATTTTCAGCTTAGTTATGCCCTTGGTTTTTACACTATGTATATTAAAAACCTAGATGAACAAAATAGATTAATGACTCATAAAAAACATATGAGGTATTACACATGTGTGAATTTTCCAGTAACTGAGTCCCATTCCTTTAAACCTAGGGATTATTCATTTTCAACATTTTTTATATAAAACAACTCTAGTACAAAATATATCCTTTTGCCAACCTGACAATTATGAGTCTGGGCATAGCACTGTATACTCAGTGAGATAGCAAACTTGCTTTCCAGAGGCTCCTGAGCAGTAAGCCTTCTTAAAGTGAACACACATATAACTTAAGTCCTGTGTTGATGATGCACGGGCACATGAACAGGTGCTGCAGCCTGACTTTATACCAAATATCCCTGGTTTGCTGCCAGTGCCATTCTTTGCCATTGCCTCACTCTCTGTCAGTTCTAATTATTGCCCAGAGACAAGATGTCAAGCAGTCATCTTTATCCACCATGATTTACTGGCCTAAAAAAATGACTTCAGAAAAAAATTGATAAACAATGTTTTATTTTATAGTCAGTAATGGTAATGGAAATTTACAAATAGTTGAGTTGTAAATTAGCACACAATGCAGAGCTCATGAGTATTGTGCCAGCCACTGCCCTGGTCATCTTGCTCTCCAAACATCACTTGAAGAAATATCTCCACATGCTTGGAATAATGAATCTGTGTTCATTTCACATTGCGAAGCTTAGAGTTCAAATATGTTTCCTCATTCAACGATTTAAAGCAAGAAGCCAGCCATTAAAAACCAAAACAAAGAGAAACCACAGACTATCCCTTCCCTCTAAAAGTAGTTTTAAGAGAAATAGAATGTCTCTGTTTTCTACAGACAAAAGAAAATGACATGATAAGAAACAGACTTCAAGCATTGTGATGGTTGATGTTTCAAATTATTTTCTTCCTTCTCAGGATAACATGTGGTTTTGAGACTCACAGAATATAGCAGTTGCCCTTATTTTAGGTTTCTCTGCTCAGTGACATTGTCATTTGCTGTGTGGGACAAGAAGCATACTACATTAGTGATGTATAACCAGAACTTCAAGGTTCTAACCCAACATTTCAGAGTACCCTGTCCTCGACCAGCTGCAATAACATTTAATTAGTAAGACATTAGCATAGGAGTGTTCTTCCTAGTAGGTAAGGAATATTTGCTACCTAGAATGTCAGGCACTGGCTGGTGAGAAGGCCCCTGCCTAAGACTCAGAGGTTTTGTAGAAGTCAGGATGCCAATGCTGAGCACATAGTTAAAGCACATTCCTTTCCTTTGATACCTGGTATTTCCCTATAGTTTCTTAGTTTCTACAGCTAACTTGGTCAAGCCCTGGAGTGATAAATGGTAACAGTTTTAGGAAATCCAAATAAACTGGAAATAAATAGGTACAGTAAGGTATATATGCATATAATTACAAATCCATAATCTCCTATGGACCACTTCAAAATCCAAAAGACTATTATGAAAACTGAAGGTTTTCTGTATAAGTCGTTAGTGTACAGGACTTAATCTGAATTCATATGCTGGCAACACCTGAATAAGGCTATTTTGCGTGTGGATATTCCACTAATGGTGCATATTCTCATCTTAAGCTACATAAATAATAACTTGCTTAGTTGAGGTGGGTGGCTGCCCAGACCCATGGAAGTGTTATGCTAAGATTGTGTTGATGTTCTAAATTATTTGCTTCATTGTACATCAACGCACCACATTGCCATTCTAAAGTCTGAAAATGCCCGATTCCAAAGCACATCTAGTAAAGATCATTGTAGAAGAGATGTGGACCTGTGTAAACACCAATTTCTACCCAATCTGATTAATCATGCAAAAATATATTTGTCTCAAAAGAACCTGTTTGACCCTAAGTATATATATAAGCATCAGTAATAAACATGGATAATTTTACGTACAAATGCTCATACTTCAGCATTATGAAATATGATTCATTCTGAGCACTTTATAGCAACAGCTTGCTCTCACACCAGATAAATAACACATACTGCTATTTGATGGCTCATGCAACTCAGTATTTGGCAATTGCAATTGAGGCATCGGAGGCCTCCAGTCATTGTTCTTGCTAAGACGCTGCCAAACTGGGTAAAAAGCTACTAGTATCAGCAATTGTAGCCAGTTTATGTGGTATTAGGCAGAATTAAAATAATACTACACACTGCCTAGCAGACACATAAAGTTTCACAACACAAATGCAAATTAATTTTCACACATAGTTCTAACAAGTTTATTCATGCTGAAAAGGGCCTACTAATCTTCACAATTCTAAAGTGCTATCTAAGAAAATGAGTATAGTTTTCATACAAATGATATAAACAAAATTGAAGGATTATATGCAGCACAGATGAAAAATACTGCACGCAGTTATTTCTCATTGTCAGCCATTCCTACTGTACCATGGAACACCGCAAATCCCCATGATGTCTCTTTAGATTATACCTTACATTTAAATTTTTATTTTTTCTATAATTTAAAAACACAAGCTCAAAGGCTCAATTAAGCAGAAATGCAACAGACAACTCTCTAAAATTTAAAGGAAAACTTTCTTTGTGTATTTGCAATATTTAAAGATAAAGGCGCTATCTTAAAATAATGATTTACATATTTGGTTCAATTGATGTATTTACTATATACACTTTGCTTTCTTTAAATTTAGAACATATAACTTCAAATAATTCAATTTCTATAGGAGTCAATTCCATTTTTCACATAAATAATCCTAAATTTAGTATTTGGAATTTTGGAATATTCACTGATCATTCCATTCTTTCAAGTTCCACAACTTTGTACATATTGATCTCTCACCCAGAAAACCCTTTCCATACTGCACCTGTTCATCTTTCAAGGCTCAGATCAAAGTTACCTCTCTTGAAGCCTTCCTCAATTCCTCTGAAAAGAATTATTCAACTTTTCTTTTTTGCTACCAGCATACTTCTTTCACAGAGACAATTTTGCTGTAATTATTTCCCTTATCTATCCCAACTGGGCAAAAGGCCTATACAAGAATGGTGCTGTATTCTTAGTTTCTGTCCCAGAACTTTGCACACAAATGTCTCTCCCTCAATAAATATTTTAATGAATGAATGATCAAACAGAGTTATATACCATCATAAGGTCATGCTCTCCACAAATACGATCATCTGGTAAGAAAACTTGTAGGAAATGCTAGACTCTTGTATGGCAGGGAATTGAAGGAGGCACTCTTTAAAACAGAAGGCAGAATTCAAAATAGATTTCACAGAATTACTCCAGCTGTGCTGTGTATATTCAAGTGGGATGAGATGTTAGATGTTAAAAGCTGGACAGAAATGGCAGCTGTGGTAACTTGCTTTATTTCAAGTTTCCTCTCAATGCCACATCCTAAGGCATTCAAAGAGGTTAATTTTGAGTCAGTGATACAGGCTTAAAGAATAATAATTCTCTTGGCTGTGCATGGTGGCTCACACCTGAAATCCCAGCACTTTGGAGAGCCAAAGCATGTGGATTGCTTGAGGCCAGGAGTTCAAGACCAGCCTGGCCAACATGGTGAAACTCCGTCTCTATTAAAAATACAAAACAAATTAGCCAGGCAACATGGTGTGCGTCTGTAATCCCAGCTACTTGGGAGGCCGAGGCAGAAGAATTGAGGGTGCAATGGGCCAAAATCGCACCACTGCACTCCAGCCTGGGCAAGAGAGTGAGACTTCATTAAAAAAAAAAAAAAAAAAAAAGGAATTTTCTTAAACTTATTTAATACTCAAACTTCATGTACACAAGAATCCCACAGGTCCCAAGTTAAAAATACACATTACTGTGATTCAGGAGGTCTGGCTGGGGCCTGAGATTCTGCATCTCTAACAAGCTTCTGGGTGAGGCTTATGCTGCTAGTCTATAAACTATACTCTAAGGAGCACACAGAGGAAGAGATAGACATATTTGTCTCCAAAGTCAGGGTGGGACTTGTCTTCATTTCATTACCATAATTCCATACCCTTATTAATATTCCTTTCTATAAGCTATGTTGATGATATCAATTATATAAAGCATTACTGAAAATTCAACTGGAAGAAATTCATATTACAAAAAAAAATTTAATTGTTCTTACCTATACTCTGGTAATGCCATCGAAAAAAAATTCGTTCAGGTAGAAACTGCAGTATTTTCTATTAAAAAAAGATATAAAAAAATAAACAAAAAAGAAATTATACATTTTCGTTAACAGTCCCATATTACTTGCAATGTATAAGTTCTAGAAGAAGAAAACTGTTTACAATAACATAAACACTGCACTTTATGCTGTATTCTCATGGACAGTTTCTTTCACTTGCCACAGGCAAGCTTCCTTACCTGAATGTTTTAAAGAGATCATTGTCCCAAGTTTAATTCCCTCCAAAAGAAAACAAGAGAAAACCTAAAATGTTAATTTTATCTTAATTGAATAATAGCCCTTTCTTAAATATTAAAAGAATAATTTCCCAAATGACAGATTCCCCAGGTTTCTTCTTTTTCACCATCTCCTTCCCATTTTCATTGTAATCACTATTAGTCTCTGGACAAAGAACAGGATTGGGAAAAAAAGTGAAAACAAAGAGGATGAGACTGTAAACAATTCAGTAAGACAAGAAAATGAAATTGGTGGCAAGAATTTCATTAAATTAATGGCCGAAAAATATTAATAAGTTTTTGAATTATAGTTAAGAATAACCCCAAACTTTTACAAGCTTTTTTTTTTTTTCTTTTTGTAGAGTCCATATATATGAGATCACACAGTATCCTTCATTTTTTTTTTCTTTGAGACAAACTTGTTCTGTTGCTCGGGCTGGAGCGTAATGGTGTTATTTCAGCTCACTGCAACCTCTGCCTCCCAGGTTCAAGTGATTCTCCTTGCATGAGTCTCCCAAGTAGCTAGGATTACAGGTGCCTACCACCATGCCCAGCTAATTTTTGTATTTTTAATAAAGACAGGGTTTCGCCATGTTGGCCAGGCTGGTTTTGAACTCCTGACCTCAGGTGATCTCCCAAAGTGCTCGGATTACAGCTGTGAGCCACCATGCCCAGCCCCACGCAGTATCTTTCTGTGCCGGGCTTATTTCACTAGGCAACAATGTCCTTCAGGTTCAACACATTGTCACAAGTCACAGCATTTCCTTTTATAAGGCTGAACAGTATTTCATTGTGTATTCATACCACATTTTCTGTATCCATTCATCTACTGATGGACACTTAGGTTGTTTCCATATCTCGACTACTGTGACTAACACTGCAATAAATATGGGATTGCAGATATCTCTTCTGCATACTGATTTCAATTCCTTGAGACATAAAGCCAGAATTGGGATTGGTGGGTCATGTGGTAATTTTATTTCTAGTTTTCTTGCGGAATTTCCATACTATTCTCCATAATGGCTACACTAATTTACACTCCCACCAACAGTATACCAGCATTTCCTTTTCTCTATATCCTTGCCAACACTTGCTACCTGTCATCTTTTTGATAACAGTAATTCTAACAGATGTGAGATGATACCTCACTGTGATCTTAATTTGCATTTTCCTGATGATTAGTGATGTCAAACTTTTTTTCATAAACTTCTTGGCCAAATATATGTATGTATTATTTTGAGAAAGTTTATTCAAGTCACCTTATCTTTCAAGTCCATAACTCTGAAAGGTATCTCATATCTAGTGTTACTACATGGTAATTCTGACTTACACTCAAACATGCTCACACACATTCCAAATCCCATTCAGTGAAAAATACCTACACACCAGACAATAGGCTTCACTCATGAAAAATAAAATAGATATAAATAAATATAGTCCTTCCAAGATTTCATGATTAGTTTGCAAAAAAGATAAAGAGTATCATTTAGCAAAGTAAAAATAAAAATTAAAAAAACCCTGACAGACGTTTGTATAAAATATTACAGAAGTAAGGAGGAAAGTGCTTCACCCAAGCAGGGGCTTCACAGAATGCTTCCTTGAAACGAGGACACTTGAGCTGAGACTTAGATGAATGAAATTTACCTAGTGAATAGCAACAGAAGGAAGACCATGGGGGAATGCTAGGAGGCAAAGACAGCTTGGTGCCTTACAGAAACCACAGCAGCAGAAGGGTCAGTATGGCTGGTAGGTGGTGAGAAGGGGAGAAGATGGGCCTGGAGAGGCAAGCGAGGCTGGGAGCTTCATGTTCTCAAGGAAGCAGTGTGGTCCCTGAATTGGTTCCAGCTAGAGGTAAACTGGAGGCAGCTGAGAGGGTGGCAGAGACAATCACTGAAGAGAAACAATGGTAGCATTTCAAAGGAGAAATAAGAAGGCCTGGACCAAAATCTGCCAGGTAAAGAGAACATATAATAGTAATAAGCAAGAGGTTAAATTGTCAAGATAAACGGGTAGAGGGGCTGTGGTAAATGGAGGTCTCCAGCATGGCTCCCAGTGGCTTAGTAGATGGCAACACTTTTATCCAAGAGATGAAATCCAGATGGAATCTTAGATGCAAGGAGAAGAAACATGTCAAGATTGATTCTTGACATCCTGGCATTTGAGGGTCAACGGTCGACCTTACTAGAGATGTTCTTTTAGGCAAATGTGTAAATGGGTCTGGAGTACAGGGGTAGGATTTGGATGTCCACACATATGGGTAGCAGCTGAAGCTGTGTGTATATGACAGGTCTCTTTTGAGAGAATTTAAAATAAGACAAGGTGAAGCTCTGGAGGTATCCATGAGCTGAGGGAGCTCTGCTAAGAAGGTAAAATTAAGGTAAAGCAGAAGCTAAAGGCTAACATGCTCGAATCCAAGGAGAAATATCTGATGTGTCAGCTGTTTGTATGCTTATTTATTGTAAAGATGAGAAACATTTAAGAGTATTTATATGCACAACTAGTTCTAAAAAGTTAAACATATTACAAACATGGGGAAATGAATGTCACATAATGAAATGACTTCAATATTAAATCAAGTGAGCTCAATGTTAATCTCTTGCCTTGAGAACACACAACTTTTGTAAGCCAGACACCAAATGCCAGGCATGACAGATCCATCTGTAAATTTTACAGAACTAAATGGCTGTTTCAGGGTAAAAAAAAAAAAAAAAAAAACAACAAAATAAAACCCCTTCCTCATCCCTCTTTTCCCCTTTCCCTAGAGGCAGAAACTAAAAACCATGGATTCAGGCTGCCAGAAGCCTAAAATAAAACAGAACAAAAAAAAAAACAACAACAAAATAAGTCTTCCCCTTGCAATATGCACTAACATGAATTTTAGATGAACAACACAAAAAAAGAAGCTAAATATAAAAACTGAGTTGTTGTGTTTTGTCAAGTAACATTAAAAGGGAATAAGTAAAACAGCTCTCTACAGAGTATCTTAATAAGAACCCAGGTGAGCACTGTCTTACCAACAGAATCTAAACTCAAACATCCCCATGAGCACATAGGATCAAGAACCCACAGAGCTGGGTTACAACCTACAGGAAAAAACCACAAGCAAAGAAGTTAAAACAAGAAATACAAAGACTCTGGAACTGAGAATAAGGACAAGGGTCCCAGGACTTAGGCTGCCAGGCCAAATGAGCAACTCCAGGGCCAAAAATAAGCACAATCCGGAGATGGCCTGGGGAGCACCAGACTCGAGAGATGAAGACAGCCTGCACCACCTGCGTCTAAGTTTTATGGTTCTTTAACTCAAAATTTCTCTTAACAGAAAAACTTACTATACATCTTAATTTAGTATCTTTGATTAAAAAAATTAATGATAATGGCAAGCTGAGTTTTCTGGAAAACATGGTACAATGAGGACTTAGGAGTACAAATGGCCTATTGAGGACTAACACCTGTGAAAGGGAAAAGCCAGGAGCAAGATTGGACAGGGGAGCCTCAGACAACAAGGTGGAGCTGACAAATCTCTGCCAGCCCAGTGGAAGCTCCACAGCAAAGACGAGAGGAGTCCAGCGTGACAAGAAATGACGAGGTCCTTGTAATACTGCCTCTGGCAGTTACTGGCTTGGGGCCATGATGAGAAGAGTGTGACCAGGGATGGAAAGCTAAAGGTGTGAAGGGCTGGAAGCCATCAGCTAACGCCACTCCTTGTAGCTGGGCAGCACATTCTTTCCTGAAGGGCAATGTGTGCAGCCCATCTCTATGTGTGCCACAATATTCTTCAAATTATTAATCAGAATATACTCATCACATTAGTATGCTGAAGCACTGAGAGAGGGGTCCCCTACTTCAGCGACATGGCCTTTCTACTGGCACTGTTTCTCAACAGCTGGCTGCTACCTCATGTTGATGGAAGCCTGGTCCCACTGAGCTCTCCCCATCCTCTCTGCGCCTCTTTCCATGCAGTTCACTCAGCCTGGGCAAACAGCACAGCAGTGACTTGGTGTCCTATCATCTCACACATTCTCCTTTAAGGGACGTGGCAGCCCAGCTACAACCCAGGATCATATTCTGATCCCATCTTGCCACGTAAACAGTTCATATAGGAAATGCTGAGGAAAATTTAAGATTCAGAATAGATCTATCTTGGATTAGATGAATGCTTGACATACACACTGTTCTTCAGACATTTAATTTAGTCAGGAAACTAATTTGGCAGTGAAAATCATGCTTTTTAGTTTTCCAGAACACATACTGGTCTTCTTGATTTTGTTTTCTTTTGTTAGTACACAACAAAGAAAAGCACAGAATATAGCAAGATGATGTGTGTCTAGATGCTTGGATACTATCAGTGTGCCACAAAAGTAATTTCCAACTTATTCTGAGGTCAGGCATAACATTATCACCACTTCTGGGTAAGTTTTCAGATTCACAAAATGGATGGACTTTAAAAACACTCAAAAATAAACTCAGTAAGATTTGGATATGAAATGCATGCCCAGTATCTGAGCTACTAAGAATATTCCCAAATGGACAAAATCTCACACAACAATTCAAAGGCTGAAAAATTACCCACACTGATGCTTCTTTTTGTACCCAAATATCGCAAACACCATTGTTTAAAGTCTATAAGGTCAATAAAAATAAAGCTCAACACAACTGTCTAAGTTTAAATGCTAAGCCTGTCCCTCAAAGTCCTAGAAGAAGCCTACTTTTACTCAGGCAAATACAATCCAGCATTGCTTCTACTGCAGCCATTATTCTAAGCTATACTGCTGTGAATGCC